GTCATTCTTTGTTCCCTTGCATGTAATAGAGCTGCTTTTTATTTTTCCTCTGCCTTTCTTTTGTATTTTCTTTTAAATCACTTTTTCTCAGTAATTAGATTATGATGAGCTTTGGTATGGTTTCTTCATGTTTCTTCAGCTTGAGACCTATTAAGCTTCTTATATCTGTCTGCTTATGGTTTCATAAAATTTGGAAAAGTTTTAGCCACTATTTCTTCAGGTGCTTTTTCTGCTACCGCCACTTTGGCTTAATATGTGCCAAAGTTCAAGGTGAACAGATCACAGTGTTGTTCCGCCTATATTTCAATGTCTAAAAACAGATGTTACAGAGATCTTGTCCAATTTGTAGTTGTTTATTACAAGAGGGTTAAGCCAGTGTCAATCAGTACTTCATGGCAGAAGTATAAACCCTTTGTCACTGTTTTTATTCTCTGTGTTTTGGTTTGATTAGCTTAAATTATTATTTAATTATTTGAGAGGGTTAGAGAGAGGGAAGGGAAAAGGGAAATGAAGGCTGGGGGGAGAGGGGCTCCCATCCACCAGCTCACTCCCCAAATACCCTCCGATGGCAAACTGGAAGCCAAGAATTCAATGCAGATCTCTCATATGAGTGGCAGAAACCCAATCACTGGAGCCATCACCACTGCCTCCCAGAGTCTGTATTATCAGGAAGCGGGAGTCAGGAGCTGGCGCTCGGCACAGAACCCAGGCATTCTGGGTTAAACGCTCTAAGCCAAATGCTCTCCCCCTACCATCTGATTAGTTTATATTGAAGTTCACTGATCTTTTCTCATCTGTGTTTCTAATCTGCGTTAAGCTCATCAATTTTTAATGTTTCAATAGTTTTTTATATATCCTATTTCTCTTCATTACATTTATATTCCTTTAAATATATATAATAACTCCTAGTATGGTAAAGCTGTCATCTGTGTCAGTGTCATTTCTATTTCTTTTTTCTATGGGTCACATTTTTTGCATGTCTAGTAATTTTTTATTAACTGCTGGATATTGTGAATATATCATGTTACCCAATATCCTATTGTGTTACCATCCTTTAAAGAGCCTCTTTCACTCTCTCTCTGGACAGCTAGTTAAGTTACATGTACACCCACATGATCCTTTGGGATCTACTTAATTGAGCTTTGTTACAGTGGGCCGAGAGGAACTTAATCTACAGCTATTTTAGCCCTACTAGTAAGACAGCACACACACAGATTTCTCCATTCATGCTGGTAAGAATTCAGAAGTCTCCTAGCCATATGTAAAGCTCTAGGAATTGTCAACCTTAAAGCTGCCAGAGAGTTCCCTGACCTTGCGGCGCCTGGTCCTACATAGTTTTAGATCAGTATTCAGCAACAGATTCAAGGAAGCATTTTTGCAGACTGTTTAAGCTCTTTTCTTCTTAGTTTTCCCTTCCATGATACTCTGTCCTGCATATTCCAAATATCTCAGACTTCTTGAACTTCTGTTCCCTCATATTCTGGTAGGTGCTCCCTGTCTGTTCTGTGGCCCAGAAACTGCCTTTTAAAGCAGAAAGTTGAAATCATTAAGACTCCTCTGTATATAATCTCCTTTCCTCTTCTTTCAGGGATCATGGTCCTTTTCAACCTATGGTCCACATCTGACTTAGGCAAGAGCAGAAGTCCGCCTCACCTGTCTTTTTCTTTTCTTGCTCAAATTATCTCAATTTTTGTCTGTGAGGACCTCTTGGAGGTAGCTTCTATGTCCTTCTGCTATGTCTCTATAATTTTTAAAGTTTTTGTATGCTATTTGGCACAATTAGATGTTTCAGACTCATTTTGTCCTTTTCTTACCCCAGATCCAGAATCAAAATTTTCTCTAAGGAGACTTAGAATACTTCAGTAAAGAATGAAATATAGAGACTGGATGTGACCATTCATTGTGTTAACTGGTACTGACTGCTTCTAGGTTCCTAGAGGGCGGTTTGCACACTTCAATTTCTGTTAAATGTCCTGTGAAGATCGGAATGGGCTGAAGTTGCTTGGATCCTATGACCTAAAACTAAATAAATCGTAGCTCCTTTCTAGGACAAAATCTCACACTGAGAAGTTACAAAACTGTGACAATAAAAGTAAATTGTAAAGAAGATCCAAGTGAAAGTGGCAGAGAGACACATTTTAGAAAGTACAAGTACATATTTGTATTACCTTGTCTTATCAGAACAGGAAACTCCAGAACTAAGAAATTAAAAATACTATTCTGAGATACCCTTCACAAGTGAAATACCAAGTTAATTACAAGGGAATGCAAATCAGATTGTTATCAGATTTTCTAAGAATACTGCTCTACCCCAGAAAAAAATTAAGATAATTGACAAACATAATTAAGATAAATTTCATATCTGTGCAAACAGCAAAGTGTAGAGACCACAGAAAAACAACCAAGATGACCCTATGAGCCCTTACTGGGAAATCTCAGAGAGGACAAGCTTTGGACAACCATAATGTTTCAATAAGCAACAGCATGAGGATTGGTAGTTCTATTAGATGTATATTGACCCACAAAATAAAGAACAAATTGTGGTTATAAAGGGAGAATCCAATAACGTAATGGCTATTAATTTTGCCAGTATAAATGCAGCTCAACTCTCAACAAACAGGGTAAGAATGAGGAAAGCATCCATCAAGTACAATCAGCTTACTGATTATCTTGTATTTGTTGGGAGTGAAAAGATAATACTTCAAGTTAGATAATGGAAAGAGGGAGGGAAGAAAGAGGAGATGACTGGATAATTTTAATATTGCTCACAGTAGGGCCAAAATCAAAATAAAGGGGGAAAGAGAAAAAAAGAGAATTATACAAAGGTAAGTAAGTAACTATTAGAATTATGATACAAATCTTTCTCAAAAGAGAGGGATCAGGGGCCAGTGCTGTGGCATCATGGGTAAAGCTGCTGCCTGCAGTGCCGGCATCCTATATGGGTGCCGGTTCAAGAACTGGCTGCTCTGCTTCCAAATCAGCTCTCTGTTGTGGCCTGGGAAAACAGTGGAGGATGACCCAAGTCCTTGGACCCCTGCACCTATGTGGGAGACCTGGAAGAAGCTCCTAGATCCTGGTTTCGGATTGGCCCAGCTCTGGCTGTTGCAGCCATTTAGGGAATGAACTGGCAGATGGAAGACCTCTCTCTCTCTGCCACTGTCTGTGTAACTCTGACTTTCAAATAAATAAATAAATCTTAAAAAGAGAGAGAGAGAGAAGGAAGGAATATAAAAACTTATTGTGGTAAAATAGAAAAATATCTCAAAATCAAGGCTGAAGTCATTGATTACATTAATAAATAGAAAGAAAGCTTTATATTGGTTATTGAGTAAAGTCCAGAACTTCTTGTAAAACAGAAATTCAGAAACTTCAAGAATAAAAAGATGGACAATTTTATCAGGTAAATACAAATTAAGAAGAAAGAAAAAGGAAGACCTTTCTCTCTGTCTCTCTCACTGTCCACTCTGCCTGTCAAAAATAAAAATAAAAAAAAAAATAAAAATACAAAATAAAAAAAGAAAGCAGGAGGTATTGCAATTCTGAAATCTGATGTGGTAGTTGGAGGATTTAAGAACAAAAATATTGTATACTATTCTAAGGAATTTCTGAAGGATCAACTATAGATGGACAAGAATCAATTGTACACTTCAAAGATGAATTGCACTGAAGTAACATGAGAGGCAGGGGATCCAGCTGAATGAGGAAAGGGGACAAGCACTGCCTAAGTGCCTACTCCAGGACAAGCAGTTGACATATATGTTCTCATTTTTATTTTAATTTTTAAAAGATTTGTTTATTTGAAAGGCAGAGTTACAGAGAGGCAGAGGCAGAGAGAGAGAAAAGACTTCCACCTGCTGGTTCACTCCGCAAGAGGCTGCAAGAGCCAGAGCTGGGTCAATCCAAAGCCAGGAGCCAGGAGCTTCTTCCAGGTCTCCCACATGGGTGCAGGGGCCCAAGGACTTGTACCATCTTCTACTGCTTTCCCAGGCCACAGCAGAGAGCTGGATGGGAAGTGGAGCAGCCTTTATGGGACAACACTGCAGGCGGTGGCTTCACCCACTATGCCACAGTGCAGGTCCCCTCATTTTAATTCTAATAACTATATGAGGTAAGTCTTGTTATTCTCATCTTATATATAAGCTCAGGAATCTGAAGCAGCTAGAATTAAGATTTTGAACTCAGTTTCATCTAGCTCTTAGCCACTATATAATGCTCTTTGTTGTTACGAGAAAATCAATCCAAGCAAAAAAGAATAAAGGTCTAAAGAACTGAAGAAAGATGCTTTAAAAGCATAATTAGGAAGGCTTGGTGATAGGACATTACATAAGATAAAGCAAGAAGAAAATAGAAATAAAGAATTCTGTAACTGTTATGACAGCTAATATCCACAGGAGTTATAAAAAATTGGAAAAGAAAATAGAGCAGAATGGCCTTACATGGCTTTTTATTGTTTACTGTTTTTTATTCTTCCCAAGATCTGCACTAACTAAAATAAAAACTCACATATATATAATTTAGTATACATTAAAAATATATTATCACAGCAATAACCAGGTCCTCTGAAAACTACTACCAGACAAAACTACTACCAACATCCAGGTAAAAACTCAAAATGGTGAAGAATGTTCCATCCTTTTCTTCTTTTTTAATTTGGTAAAGGTCAGATTTTAAAACTAGAAATGTTCTAATAAAAATATTTGTTTTTGGTGTATAAGATATTGAGAGCTTAAAAGGTCTTCTTACTGCATGTACTTCAGAAATGGATTGCTACAAATAAAATCTGGCTAACAACATGTAAATATATATTCTTAAATTCTAGTCATCACTTTTTAAAACCTCTGAAGTTTTCTGAAAATTTTTCTCTTTATCTGCCTTTTACTTCATTCTTGTCCCCAAGTTAGTCTTCACAATTTCATGAGATACTCTACTGAATTATATCTAGATGTCTAGTTAAGAAAGGATATTTCTGCTTTATTTCTTTTATTTCCTTATATACTTACATGGAATGGTTCTCAAGTAGAGATTATCTCTGATCACTTGCTGCAGTTTGTGGTCAATTGATCCTTTTTGAAACTGAAGACTCAGGTAATGTCGCAAATCTTTATTAATAACTTTGCCTACAAAAAAAAACACAGAGAAAATAAACATAACTGTTAGATGGCTATTTAAATATAGAAGCTATTAAATGAATGCTCTTAAATCACTTAACCATGAGCAGAAAATTTTATTCAAAGGAAGACAACTAAGACCAAAGTATGATAGGTACTATAATGAAAACACATAGTTCCAATATAATGTGGATAAAATTTTACATGTAGAAGGAGAACGTATAGGTCAGAGAATGTGACAAATGTCCACTTAGAAATTCACTAAGTCCATGGCTTTAAATATCATCTATACACTGACAACTTCCAAATTTATCTTACTCTCCATACCTGACCTATCTCCATCAGGCTCCAAAATCATCAAACTCATTCTTACATATTGAAGATATATTTATAATTCAAATAAACATCTGAAATTTCAGATAGCCAAAAACCTCTTAATTTCACTTTCGTCCAATGTTTTCCTCTGCCCCAATTTTCCCATATTTGAAAACAACAGTACCATAAACCCATAGAATAATCCCCAGAGACATCATCCTTGAGTTCTTTTCACTTCTATCCCCCAGATGTAAATCCAATGGAAACTTTTCTCAGTTCCTTATTTGCTCTACTTCTCACCAGTGCCTAAAGCCACGGCTCTCCCTAAACTACATCAGTTCCCATGTTGAACTCTGTCAGCCTCCCTGTATCAGTTCTTGTCTCCTTTCTGCCCTGATCATTCACACAGCAGCCAGAGTGAGGTTTGAAATATCACACAAAAAATTACTACTCTAGTTAGAGACCCCAGTGACTTCTTGTTTTATTACACTTGTAATAAGATTCAAACTCAAATACAAACCTAAAAGGCTCTATGTGTTCTGGTTCTGGCCATCTCTGACTCTAGATTATAAACACTCCTTCCCCATGTCAAGCCATGTTCCACTCACATTGGCTGTCTCTTTGATTTTCCACAGCCAAACTGGGCCCCATCATTAGGGGTCTTCTGTCTTTATACTGAACTTGAACTTTTTGTCCACTTGATTGATTTTTATATATAGTTTGAATAAGTAAGATCAAAGGTTTTATATTATTTATGGGAAAATGGCATATAATTAAGAATATTAGGAATCTCAAAGAAATGTTAAACAGAGAAACAGTACTACAGAAATCTCACACAGTGAAGTTTGTACTAAGGACTGAATTTAAAACTAACCAAAGCAGTTCAAACACTGTTCTTTAGATGAAACTTAGATAATTAGAAAATATTACAATAGATTGATTTTATGGAATAAGATTATCAATAGATTATCCTACTAAGAAATAAGTGTTTGATTAAAGTATACTATTTGTTTTGTTTGGAACTACATACTTATGATAAGTGTATATAAACCAAAAGGTTATTATGACCAGTTCATTCTTTTAACTATTATTCTACATTATATTTCTAATTTCTTTTATTCTTTTCACATACATATTAGGAGAATTTGAGAGGTTTGTAGAAAAATAGAATTACAAGAAAAGTTTATTTTGGTATAAAAATTTTTTTCAAATCAAGGGATTTGAAAAATCTATGGATTTTTCAAAATACACATTTTCTATAACTTTTTAGAGATCTCTCATGTAAATAAACTTAACCTATGTATGAGGGTGTAAATATAAGCAGGAAATCAGAATGCTTCTAAAGTTCAGAGATAACATTCAGATCCTAAACTAATAAACATAACCAAGAAGAGTCTCATTTTTGACTTACTAAGAATAGATGCTGAGGAAGTGGGGAACCTTTGTGATTAGAGGAAATAAACAGGAAAGATATTCACAGGGATGAATACAAAAAAGTCCCTAAGCCCGAAGTTTCTTCTCTCAGGCATTTAGGAGTCCCACAAACCCAAGTCTAATTCTGATGGAATCATAAAATTATTTCATTATTATAATTATTATTCATTACTGAGTAAAAAACCACATAATTCATAATCAACAGTATACATTATTGCTTATTAGAGAAAAATACATCTAATAATGAGTTGTTTACATATTTAAAAAATTAGGTAAGAGTTGTAAGGTTGGGTGGATTGTTATATAGGTACTTAAAACTGTTTTATGTTATTTGGGGAATGGTTAGGATTTTTGAATAGGTAGAGAATACATTGCTATTTTTCCCATTTAAAATAACATTAGCTCCAATTTTTTAAAAAAACATAATCAACATATTTTCAAGACAAGATTTAATTTGGATAAAGCATAATATAATAATAATTAAAGAAGAAAAATTTTTTTCAACTCAAAAAGATTATTTTTACTGTAAGATATTAAGATATGGTATAACTTAACAGAAATAACCATAAAAATCTAAAAACCTGATCAGAGTTCCATTTATAGAATTTGGGGCCAGCGCTGTGGCGCAGCAGGTTAAAGTCCTGGCCTGAAGTGCCGGCATCCCCTATGGGTGCCCGTTCTAAACCCAGTTGCCCCTCTTCCAATCCAGCTCTCAGCTATGGTCTGGGAAAGCAGTAGAAGATGGCCCTAGTCCTTGGGCCTCTGCACCCATGTGGGAGACCCGGAATTAGCTCCTGGCTCCTGGCTTCGGATTGGCGCAGCTCTGGCCGTTGCGGCCATCTGGGGAGTGAACCATCGGATGGAAGACCTCTCTCCCTCTGCCTCTCCTCTCTTTCGGTGTAACTCTGACTTTTGAATAAATAAATAAATCTTTAAAATATATAAATAATTAAATTTAATATAATTAAATGACAATATCACAATAAAATTATAAATTACAAATTATAGGGTGACTGGTCTCTTACAAACATAGCTCCAGTGGCAAAAAGTCTATAACTGAAATTTTAAAGTATATGAATAAATCCAGGTACTAAAGTTTTACTGTAAAAATCCATAATCAAAAGAACTCCTACTTACAAATCAATACTTCCTGAATATATGCAAACTAATATTTACTACTAGTTCTCTTTGAACAATCAATATATAGAGTAACTGAACCTTATTTAGATAAACCTTGTGACAAGCCTGAAGCATGGTTGTGGCCAGGTAACTGAAGATTTATCAACATTTAATCATTTTTTTCTACAAGGACAGCTGGGGAAGAGTCTGTCAACTACTTGCTTAAGATACAACATGTCTTTTACTATTCTCTAATCCAGTAGTAATTATAAAATGGAAAAAAAAAATGAGATCAGGTTGCTATCTTTCTTATAAACCCACACTGTTGCATGGTGATCATCCTATTCTCTTCCGAACACTTGGGATATTTTATTTCTTTTTTACAGTCTCTTACAATTTTGCTACAGTTTAAGTAAGGGAACTGGTCTGGGTCTCTACTATTTTTCTTCTTTGGGAAAACTGTAACATGTGTCTCTCTCCAGTCTCTTGGTACTTCCCATATTCTTCAAGATTTTTCAAAACAAAGAAACAAACAAAAACCAAAGAGAGAGGAGAGGCAGAGAGCGATCATACCTGAACTCCTTCTACTTCAGGGAGACATTTCATTTCAGCCTTGAAAAGTTAAATTCATTTAAAGTGAGTGATACTATCTTCTCATCTTTATTTGGTTCAATTTCTCCTGTTTTGGGTTGGTTGTTTTATCTTTGACTATGGGAAAAGTACTCGTGCTATTTCAAGGTTATACTAGTAGGAAAATAAGAATGGAACAGTGGCTGGCACCGCAGCTCACTAGGCTAATCCTCTGCCTGTGGCACCGGCACCCGGGTTCTAGTCCCAGTTGGGGCGCCGGATTCTGTCCCAGTTGCTCCTCTTCCAGTCCAGCTCTCTGCTGTGACCCGGGAATGCAGTGGAGGATGGCCCAAGTGCTTGGGCCCTGCACCCCATGGGAGACCAGGAGGAAGCACCTGGCTCCTGGCTTTGTAGTGGCCATTTGGGGGGTGAACCAACAGAAAAGGAAGACCTTTCTCTCTGTCTCTTTCTTTCACTGTCTACCTCTGCCTGTCAAAAAAAAAAAAAAAAAAAAAAAAAAAAAAAAAAAAAAAGTAGACCATTAATAGCTAACATTAAGAATGTCTTCCTGAGAGAGTGAGCCTACTACTTTCTTCTTGTTGCTTTTGTTCCAAACATAACCTGAATAGTTCTTTGTGCTCTTGTAAGTATCTTCACTTTTTTTTAAGCTTTGGCTTTTGCACTGTATAACTATGTGATCATTCTGTGCTCCTTTTGTCTATCAATCATACACATCATTTAGGAAACCTGGGTTGCTTGTAGCATTCTACACATCCATTATAATGTCTTCACAAAATTTTTCTTTTAGAAATCTCTAGCCTTGGAACCACACCTAAAGATGCTATAAACTTGCAAACACCTGTTTTCCTCAAAGACAGAGAATGGGCATAACCATTTCCTAATTCTCTACCCTATCAGGATTAAAGCTGGCAAATGCTCTGAGCAGCTCAAATTTCTTTATTGTGAAGTACCCAACATTCTCCAAAGCTGTCTTTCAGGTTTTTGAGTCACATTCTAGGAAGAGAGCAGACACCGGCCACCTGCTATGGGTTGTCCAAGAGCAACTCCAGGCAGATGGGTCAGAAAGTACCCAAAAGTCACCCTTTGCTTCCTTTCAACACTAAAATCGTCCATCCCAGGAGGGACTCAACATTTATTATCATAATTTGCAACCTATGTTGGAGCATGTTTCTATACTGTACCTGTGTGGACTTGTATCTGCCTCTACATATGATTATAGAAACTTTCCCTCTTACATATTCAAAAGTAAATAAATGTATTTACTATATATAAGTAAGTATTCTAAAATACACAATAACCATTTTCCCTGCTGGTAGAGTCCTGCTTTATAAATTATACCTCAGGGTCTCCTTATTAAATTACTTGTGTGACAACTCCTTCTGGTACATTTCTTAGAACTTACCAGGAAGTGGGCTACAATTTTGGATGGGTAATGTCTGTAAGACAACCTGGTGACTTTACCCAATAGAGTGTTCAATGTAACTAGCTCAACACAACTTATGTTACTAAGTAGTTCTTTTCTATCAGACCTAGACTCAGAACAACAGTGT